AAAAAAAAAAAAAAGATCTGCAAAGCTAAAATAAAAAACACCACTAACGAAGTCAGAAACAAGCTAGGAGAAACTCTGCCACACAAACACTGGGAAGGGGGCAGATCCGGCCACTCTATGAAGAGTTCTTACATGTGGAGGAAAAGGTAAGGACAGAGGGACACAAAGTCACACGATAATACAAAGGACCAATAAAAATAGCACGGTTCTCAATGTCACTCCCGACTACACGAAGGTATGTGAAATATCATTTTTCACTTAATGGTAGAGAGTTTTAAAAGCGACAGTATCCAGTGGTGAGGGCGTAAGAACACAGGCATTTTCTCTCAGTTGGTGGGGGTCTAACTTCTGAAACAATAGCTACTAATATTTAAAATGTACATATTTTTTCCCTGTAATTCTATTTCTAGGAATTCAACCAGTGGACACACTCCATAGTGCACAGATTTTATGGTCTATTTATTTATTACAGGATTGATTATAGTACTACAAATTATAGTAGTACCAATGATAAACAGACCAAATATCCATCAAAAGGAAAGTGACATAATAAATTGTGGTATGCCAAAACAGTGAAATAATATGTATATAATATACTATTATATGTTACTATATTTATATATAATATATATATATCCCAGTACATATATAAAATATATACGATCTTTTTAAAAAGGCAAATCTATATGTACTAACAAGAAAATGTGTCCAGGATTTATTATAAGGTGAAAAGCAAGTGCAGCATGACTTCACTAGTGATAGATGGAAAGTCACAGAGGGCCGAGGACGGGGAGCCTGGAGCGAGGACAGAGAGGAGAGGGGAGGTAGGACAGATAGACATCACTGATACATGATGGATGGCGTTTTGTGCGTTGAAGGACATCTGCAGGAATTAGAAACGAAGACAACAGCCGTTAAGATTGTCTTTCCCACCTTTGAGACAGGATTTTATTCCTACTATTTTAAGTGTCTGTAATGCTTGGTTTTTATGGACGGCATTAACTTCCCAAAAAGAAAAAAAAAAGGCAGAGGAGTTTGCTTGTGGAAATAATTAGACCACATCCCTTGCAGCCCACTCCTCTATCAGTCTGTGCACCTGCTCCCTTCCCTGGCAGTGCTCCCTGTCCTGGGCTCCCCCAGGTCTGTGCACCTGCTCCCTTCCCTGGCAGTCCTCCCGTCCTGGGCTCCCCAAGGTCTGTGCACCTGCTCCCTTCCCTGGCAGTCCTCCCCGTCCTGGGCTCCCCCAGGTCTGTGCACCTGCTCCCTTCCCTGGCAGTCCCCCCTGTCCTGGGCTCCCCAAGGTCTGTGCACCTGCTCCCTTCCCTGGCAGTCCTCCCCGTCCTGGGCTCCTCCAGGTCTGTGCACCTGCTCCCTTCCCTGGCAGTCCTCCGTCCTGGGCTCCTCCAGGTCTGTGCACCTGCTCCCCTCCCTAGCTGTCCTCCTTGTCCTGGGCTCCTCCACATCCGTGCACCTGCTCCCTTCCCTGGCAGTCCTCCCCGTCCTAGGCTCCTTCAGGCCTGTGCACCTGCTCCCTTCCCTGGCAGTGCTCCATCCTGGGCTCCTCCAGGTCTGTGCACCTGCTCCCCTCCCTGGCAGTCCTCCGTCCTGGGCTCCTCCAGGTCTGTGCACCTGCTCCCCTCCCTAGCTGTCCTCCCTGTCCTCTGGCCTGGTCTCCAAATCCTGCTCGGCCTGATCAGGACAGAAGAGAACCCTGTTTCTCCATGTTCTGTGTATTTTGGGACAGTGCCTCCAGAATATCTTTTCATCTCTCTGTGCAGTGTCCGAATGGCCGCTCACTGATATGGGGCTGTTTCTTCAAATTCCGCTCCAGAGATAGAAACATGAGATAAATTTAGTCATTTGTCTTCTATCCCAGCAGCACCTCTCAGGTACCGTTAAAATTCTGTTCTGGTTTTTGCTGTGACAGCCCCAGAGACCCCTTTCTGACAAGGAGCGGAGGTTTTACTTTCCTTTTTCAGGCATCAGCTCTTTTTCTAGAGACTGTATTGTGTGTTAACAATACAAGGCAAAGTGAATATTAATAATCCTTTCTGTAGCTCTCTATAGCTTTCAGATGCTGCCACATCCATCACCTCCCTCGATTTGATCTCTGCATCAGCCCTGGGAGTTGGGGGAGAGGGGGCAGGTGGAGAAAGATGCTCTTGGAAATTTTTATAGATAAAAATGGAGGCCTAGCTGACTTGCTCACACTCACATGGTTAACGCATAACAGAATATTAACTGAGCCAAGGGTCTTTGGTTGCAAGCAACAGAGGCGAATTTAGCTGAAACAGGCAAGAAATAGCCCACTGTGTCAAAGGAATCAACCTGAGAAAGGACAGAAATCCCAATGGCTCCAGGGTCCTAGGGAGAAAGAAGAGTGTCCTTTCAGGGCACTTGGGTCAGTGGCTCCATCCATTTCCTGTCCCTGAATCTCAGGCTTGAGATTCACATTTTTCTGCTCCTGGGAATGAGGATCTCGTCGGCCTACTTAGATCATGGGAGGATGGGGCCCCATGATGGCACCCCAGAATGATGGGGAGGAGGGGACTTCACAAGCAGAGATGGGGAGCTGTTATAGGAGATGAGGAACAATGCCCATCCCAGCAGGTGCTCCTGGAGCCAAGCGCTCATGACCCGGGAAGGGCTGGCTTCCTCTCGCTGGTGTGCGCCCTCCTCCATCCCTCCCCACTGGCCACATGTCCTATTATGTCTGCACTTGTTCCATTTTTCTTTCTCTGCTGACAGACCTCCAGGCCTTACTCATTTACCTCAAAATGGCAGACTCAGCCTCCAAGTGCTTGCTCCCGAATAACCCAGGATCTCAGTGCTTCGGTTCCCATCTTCCAGGAGAGACACCCTGGTGGTTCCAGCTCCCCTGGTCTAATTGGCTGACAGTTTGTGTGGTGAAAGGAATCATGGGGCTGGGAGGAGGTTGACATGATAGATGGGGATGCTTCTTCCAGGATCCAAGGACAGAAAGTGCAGGGCAGCCTCACGGAAACTCAGAATGGAGAGTGTGAATTTATATATATTCATCACTACTGCTCATCACTCCAGCTTCCTATGGTCTCAAATGACCACCCTGGGCTATCCTATGCCTTTCCAGTTTGATCCCCACCACTAACCAGGTCAGCCTCTGGGTTTTCCCAACTCCCGATTCTTGGAAAGGCACCTATGTTCTCTTCTTCAGCTGGTCAGCCCGTGCGTGGGCGACTGGCATCTTTACCTCCGTGTCACAGGGGAATGGAGTCCTGGAGGGTTAGAAGCCCTCCTTAACCCCGTGTTTCCCATTGCGGGGCAGGTCAAGGCCCTCCTGGAAGAAATCCTCGAGCGAGTGACAGACGAGTTTAACATGCCAGAGCTGCTCGCCAAAGTGGAGGAGCGCACCCCCTACATCGTCGTCGCTTTCCAGGAGTGTGAGCGGATGAACGTCCTCACCAGGGAGATCCGGCGCTCGCTGAGGGAGCTGGACCTCGGCTTAAAGGTAAGGGGTGGGGGGGTCTTGGTGGGAAGGGGCAAGGCCAGAGGACACAGCTGAACCCCCCCAGGGGAGAGAGGGAGGAGGGGTTACCAGGGACCTGGGAGCTGGAGAGTTGTCCTAGAGCAATCCGAATGCCTGAGAAGGCATCACTCCCAGAAAGTGGGAGCGGCCGGGCTGCAGGGAGGCCAAGACCCAAAGTTCTATAAAGTCTGAAGCCGTACTGAAGTTAGAATGTGCTAGACTGGCTGGTCAGTGTATGCGAGCTGCCCAAGGAGACCACACTCTGAGGAACAAGCTAGACGAAAATTTTGACAGCCTGGTGTCTTCTACTGACATAGTTGCTTTCGTGGGGGGGCAGAGGAGCACTGGCTAAAAGTAGAGGTTCTAGAACTAGACGGCCCCAGGGTCACTTCCTCACTCGAGGCCTTAAAGTGGCTTAGATCTCACTGTGTCTCAGCTTCTTCACCTGTAAGAGGGATGATGGTCCGACTTCATAAGGTTTTGGGGAAGGATGAAATAAATTCATTTACATCGAATGTTTAGAACAATCCCCAGTGTGTAGTAAGTACCCCCAAAGTATTAGCTGATAATTATTATCACCTCATTAGGGGAAAGAATGGTCATCTTTTTACAACTCCGAGGTTGCAGGAAAGATCCAAGATACTGCACAAACTCTGCATTTCTCTTGAGCAATGGAAGAGTCTGTTTCTACCCCCAGTTACCTAAACACGTTTACTTGATGTGCCAGGAGGTAATTACGTCAGGGGCCTGGCCCGGACCCTCACAGAGGAGCACTGTGATTACTGGGCACCTCTGTGACAGGCACACGGGGGGTCCTGCTGCCTCTCAGGAGCTGAGGAAGGGGACTGTTGTCAGCGTACATGGGCACGTTCATTAACAGAACTGCGGCCCCAGACAGAGGGAAGGTGAGAACCCAGTTCTGTAGCTCGGAGTTACGTGCGCATGGGAGAAACAACTGTGTGTTTTGTCACAAGTAGTCACCTAGAAACTATGGAACAAGACCGCAAATTCTACGTTAGTGGGCCTCTTTTTTTTAATCTAATTTCCTCCTCCCTAGTATACATGGAGGAACCAGCCTTACAAGAAATGTTAAAGGGGACTCTTTGGGTAGAAAGGAAGGACCATAAGCAGGACGAAGAAAAGGAGGAAGCACAAAGGCAGTAAAATTACCTGTATCTATAAAAATCATTCAAGGGATTCACAAGATAAAAGGATATAAATTATGACACCACATACCTAAAATATGGGGGACAAAGGAGTAAAAATTTAGTGCTTCTAGATTTCAAACTTAAGCAACCATTAATTTCCTATAGACTGCTCTATGCAGAAGATGTTATACACCAACCTAATGGTACCTTCAATTCAAAACAGTAATAGATATGCAAAAAATAAAGAGAAAGGAATCCAAACAGGTAACTAAAGAAAGCCAACTTACAGTGAGAGAGCAAGGGAAGAAAGGAACAGAGAATATAAATACAACCATAAAACAAGTAACAAAATGGCAATACATACATACATACCTATGAATAATTCTTTGAATATAAACGGACTAAACCCTCCGATCAAAAGACAGAGTGACAGACTAAATAAGAAAATAAGACCCATCTATTTGTTGCCTACAAGAGACTCATTTCAGACCTAAAGACAGATGCAGAATAAAAACAAAGGGATGGAGAAGCATTTATCCTGAAAATGGATGTGAAAAGAAAGGCGGGGTAGCAATACTTAGACAAATTAGACTTTGAAACAGACTAAAAAGAGACAAAGAAGGACACTTCATAATCATAAAGGGTTGATCCAACAAGAAGATATAACAATTGTAAATATTTTTTAAAGATTTTGTTAGGGAGTGAGCAAGCGCACAGCAGGGGAGCAGGGATCCTGATGCGGGACTCGACTCCAGGACCCTGGGATCATGACCTGAGCCGAAGGCAGACGCTTAACTGACTGAGCCACTCAGGCGCCCCAACAACTGTAAATATTTATGCACTCAACGTGGGGGCACCCAAATACTTAAAACAGTTAATAATAAAGTAATCAACAGTAGTAAAATAATAGTATGGGTCTTTAACTCCCCACTTACATCAATGGAGAGATCATCCAAACAGAAAGTCAACAAAGAAACCATGGCTTTGAATGACACATTGGAGCAGATGGATTTAACAGATATATTCAGAACATTCCATCCTAAAACAACAGAATACACATTCTTTTCAAATGCACATGGAACATTCTCCAGGACAGATTACGTATTAGGCCGCAAAACAAATCTCAGCAAATTCAGAAAGATTGAAGTCATACACCATGCATCTTTTCTGACTACAACACTACAAAACTACACCACAACACTACAAAAAAATCGACAAGAAAAAATCTGGAAAGAACACATGGAGGTTAAGTAACATGCTACTAAACAATGAATTGGTCAACCAAGAAATCAAAGAAGTCAAAAAATACATGGAAACGGGTGCCTGGGTGGCTCAGCTGGTTAAGCATCTGCCTTCAGCTCAGGTCATGATCTCAGGGTCCTGGGATTGAGCCCCACGTCAGGCTCCCTGCTCAGTGGGGAGTCTGCTTTTCTCTCCACCCCTCCCCCTGCTCATGCGTTCGCACTCTCTCTCTCTCTCTCTCAAATAAATAAAATCTTTAAAAAAATTACATGGAGACAAATGCAAATGAAAACACAAACAATCCAAAAGCTCTGGAATGCAGCAAAGGCAATTCAAAGTGGGAAGTTTATAGCAATACAGGCCTACCTCAAGAAGCAAGAAACATCTCAAACAATCTATCCTTACACCTAAAGGAGCATAAGTCAGTAGAAAGAAGGAAATAATAAAGATTAGAGGAGAAATAAATGAAATAGAAACTAAAACAAAACAAAGCGAAAAAAACAATAGAACAGATCGATGAAACCTGGAGCTGGTTTTTTTTAAAAGATCAACAAATTGATAAACCTTTAGCAGACTCATTTAAGAAAAAGAGAGCAATAGATCAATGGAACAGAATCGAGAGCCCAGAAATGGACCCTCAACTCTATGGTCAACTCATCTTTGACAAAGCAGGAAAGAATGTCCAGTGGAAAAAAGACAGTCTCTTCAACAAATGGTGTTGGGAAAATTGGACAGCCACATGCAGAAGAATGAAACTGGACCATTTCCTTACACCACACACAAAAATAGACTCCAAATGGTTGAAAGACCTAAACGTGAGACAGGAGTCCATCAAAATCCTAAAGGCGAACACAGGTAGCTACCTCTTCGACCTCAGCCGCAGCAACTTCTTCCTAGAAACATCGCCAAAGGCAAGGGAAGCAAGGGCAAAAATGAACTATTGGGATTTCATCAAGATAAAAAGCTTTTGCACAGCAAAAGAAACAGTCCACAAAACCAAAAGACAACCGACAGAATGGGAGAAAATATTTGCAAATGACATATCAGATAAAGGGCTAGTATCCAAAATCTATAAAGAACTTATCAAACTCAACACCCAAAGAATAATCCAATCAAGAAATGGGCAGGAGACATGAACAGACATTTTTTCCAAAGAAGACATACAAATGGCCAACAGACACATGAAAAACTGCTCAACATCGCTTGGCATCAGGGAAATCCAAATCAAAACCTCAATGAGATACCACCTCACACCAGTCAGAATGGCTAAAATGAACAAGTCAGGAAACGACAGATGTTGGCGGGGATGCGGAGAAAGGGGAACCCTCCTACACTGTTGGTGGGAATGCAAGCTGGTGCAGCCACTCTGGAAAACAGTATGGAGGTTCCTCAAACAGTTGAAAATAGAGCTACCATACAATCCAGCAATTGCACTACTGGGTATTTACCAGAAAGATACAAATGTAGGGATCCGAAGGGGTACGTGCACCCCAATGTTTATAGCAGCAATGTCCACAATAGCCAAACTGTGGAAAGAGCCAAGATGTCCATCGACAGATGAATGGATAAAGAAGAGGTGGTATATATACACAATGGAATATTATGCAGCCATCAAAAGGAATGCGATCTTGCCATTTGCAACAACGTAGATGGAACTGGAGTGTGTTATGCTGAGTGAAATAAGTCAATCAGAGAAAGACATGTATCATATGACCTCACTGATATGAGGAATTCTTAATCTCAGGAAACAAACTGAGGGTTGCTGGAGTGGTGGGGGGTGGGAGGGATGGGGTGGCTGGGTGATAGACATTGGGGAGGGTATGTGCTATGGTGAGCGCTGTGAATTGTGCAAGACTGTTGAATCACAGATCTGTACTTCTGAAACAAATAATGCAACATATGTCAAGAAAAAAGAAAAAGAAGATAGCAGGAGGGCAAGAATGAAGGGGAGTAAGTCGGAGGGGAAGACGAACCATGAGAGATGATGGACTCTGAAAAACAAACTGAGGGTTCTAGAGGGGAGGAGGGTGGGGGGATTGGTTAGCCTGGTGATGGGTATTAAAGAGGGCACATTCTGCGTGGAGCACTGGGTGTTACGCACAAACAATGAATCATGGAACACTACATCAAGAACTAATGATGTAATGTATGGTGATTAACATAACAATAAAAAATTTAAAAAAAAAGAGCAAGGTGGAGGTGCCTGGGTGGCTCAGTCGGTTGAGCATCCAAGTCTTTTTTTTTTTTTTTTTTAAGATTTTATTTATTTATTTGTCAGAGAAAGAGAGAACAGGAGCAGCAGGGAGAGGCAGAGGGAGAAGCAGGCTCCCTGCTGAGCATGGAGCCTGACATGGGACTCAATCCCAGGACCCCAGGATCACAACCCAAACCAAAGGCAGACGCCTAACCAACTGAGCCACCCAGGTGTCCCCAGCATCCAACTCTTGATTTCAGCTAAGGTCATGATCTCAGGGTCATGGGATCGAGCCCCACATCAGGCTCCATGCCAAGATTCTTTCTCTCTCCCTCTCCTCCTCCCCAGCCAACTCATGCACGCTCGCTCTCTTGAGAGAGAGAGAAGAGGCTCAAACA